ATTATTATTATTATTATTATTATTATTATTATTATTATTATTATTATTATTATTATTATTATTTTACTAGGACAATAGCAGGTGTAACAAAGAGGGGGGAGTGGGTCACAAACATGAGCAGAAATTTTCCTTCTTTCCCCAGAATGTGTTTCAAAGGTGTAGGAATCTTTCTGTGTTTCATTATTCCAAGCTTATTTGGTGGTATACATTATTGTTTGTTTCTAGCTTCAGAACTACTGGAATTATTGCTACAGTTGTTCGGCAAATACATTATTGTAATTAAGTAACCCAATTGGAACCATTTCCAGGCTTCTCATGTTTGCACTAAAAAAAGATTCAGGAGTATCACAATTTAAGAAAGGAAGAAAACTCCAGACCCAATCCTGTACACATCTGTGGTCCTGCTCACTTTATAAGCTGCCAGCAAGATGCAGCTGCTCCTGGTCACCAGAAGGTTCCACATCCCTGATAATAATTGCTGTCTATGCTGCTAGAATAGTTCTGAATTTTCATTAGTCAAACAGTGCTACTCACGTAATAGACAACCATTACTGAAATTGGATTGGACACTTTGTGTTGTAGCATTGAAAGATAAATCTAGTATTTAGTTTTCTGAGAACAGAAAGGCAAATATGAGGTAGTTTCTTGTAGTTTTAATGTGACAGCTCAATGCAGTACTTTTAACTCCTGTTTTATGAGAGTCTTGGATAGGAAGGTGAAGAACACTTTACAGATTCAAACATAGCCTTGAATTTAAAAATCGTTTCCAAAACATAGATTAAAATTACATGTTATTTATATGACAATAAAAAGCCAAACCGGAGCAAGAAGAAATCCTGATAAAATGAAAATACAGGTAGTTCACTTGGAGGAAATATGTTTATGCAGAATGGAGAATTGTTGGTTGATTGCCAAAATAAATCATTCTTGCTCAAAAGAATAATTTCTTTTTATAAAAAAACTGCTGGAAATGCAATAATCCGAATAGATATTTTTTCATACGTTAAGGTAATGTCATAAAACTCAAGAGTGGAATGGAACATGTTTTAAATACTCACTTTTCTTTCTTGCCAATTGTTTCTTTTGGTTTTACTAAGCATTACTAAGCATACGATAACATTTTTATGATGCTTACTGCAAATTACTAATTTCTTTTTTAGATGAACAGCAGGCTTAACTATGAGAATATGCTGATTAGCCTGATGCTGAATTCAATAACCTTAAACCTTAAAAATATTTATAAAATATAATTCTGCACATGTATTAATACAACTTCTAAAGATTGGGGGTTTTTTAGTATATGTTTTTAATATATCTGATTTTGCCCAATTCATTATAATAAGGACAGACTTCTGACATAAGTTTAAAACTCTTAATTCTTTCTTAACTTGATTATTTGTATTGGATGCTAATTACTGATTATTGGCTTGGTTGTAATAATGGTTTTAAAGGGCTAAATCAATGTAAGGCCACTGAAGCACTAAAGATATGTTACTTTGAAAAGAAAAAGAAAAAGAAAGAGTCGTGGCAATGGTACAACGTAACATCTAATACCCGAAAATATTTATTCAAAATACAAGGAAAATGTCAAGCGCCAGAGAAATTAGGACATTCAGACAGTTCAAATGAATATAAAGATTTATTGCAAGCTTAAGCTCTCTACAAGAATCTGATCGACTAACAGTCCAAGGAAATGAGCAGGAGATAAGGGTGGCATTCAAAGTGGGCTGAACTTAGATCTTTTATGGATGTGCAAGGATTCATGACTTACGACACATTGGACTTCTCCCTCACGCTCAGGCTCCTCATCTCCTACAGAAAGAATGTTTAATCAAAAGATAATTATAAAGATCAAGTCAAAATCTATTTATTAGCCTAATTATGAGAAATACTCTAGAGAGAGGAGGACTTGCAATGAATCGATTAGCATGACTATTCCTCAATATTTCTATTAACTTGCCTGTTTATGCTTGTGTTCTAAACTTGCTAACTTTAAAAAGAAAAGTATCACATAATTTGAAACAATTTTAATCTGGTAAAAGGAAGAGCAAATTATTATATAAATTGGAAATCATGCAGATTGTACCTAATACAGTAGAATAAAATTTTACATATAGATGAGATGGTCCCTGTTTGATCAGATCAGAAGTATACTTATCTAATTACTTGCTACTGTGCCGTTTTAGATGCTCATGGTGAAACACAGAGAGTCCAAGAAAACTGGTTCTGTCTTTAGAAAATATGTTGAATCTAATTTATTGAAAAAGAAATTAGGGACATTAAGCAAATCTTTCTTCTCTCCATTATTTTGGTGTGGATTATTTAACCAGTATATATGAAGTATCTGAAGAACATTTTTCCTGAAAGAACAAAATTAATCAAATGAATTTCAATGAGGGGTACTGGCTTATGAAAAAGTTATTGATTAAGATTGGGAAAGAAGTGTGCATGTTTGTTGTTACACCTGAGATATGATTGGATTTGCTTAGTTTGTTCTCCTTATCTGTGTAATGAAATATTTGTTTATATGAAGGACCACTGCAATTATCAGTGACGCTGCTCTGCTTTGGCAGTATGACCATTACAGGAGCAACATATTTGAGAGATGGGATTCTTTTGAAATTTATACTATATAGCAAATTTGACAGCAATGGATTTAATCTCATTTTAGAAAAATTAATTCTATATTTATTTAATGTAAACTGCTAAAATATATAGGAAACTGAAAAAGGTAATTTATTGTAATGGTTATGGGTAATGTTGAACTTTGGCCTTTGCTGCTTGTTGCCCCATAATTTTTGTTTAAAGCAGCAACATGCCAGTATCGTACCCCTGGATAACAAATATTGGGATCAGCACCAATAATTTTTTGAATCATCTGTTTAAACCACCTATCTGCATAAGAACCATATAGAACAGGGGTGTCAAACTCAAGGCCTGCAGGCCAAATCTGTGGGTGCTTAGATCTGGCCCACGGGACGCCCTGGAAACAGTGAAGGACTGGCCTGTGGAGCATCTGCCAGTGAAAATGGAGCTCGGGAGGGCGCACGCGACTCCTCTCCCGAGCTCCGTTTTTTTCTGGCAGAGGGTTGCAGGAGACCGCTGCAGCCAGAAATGGAGATCAGGAGCCCTTTTTCACTGGCAGAGCACTCGGGCCACTACAAGCACCCCTGACACAAGTGACGTCAAACTGGCCATGTCCACCCTGCCAACCCAAGTCAAACACAACCCTGATGTGTCCCTCAATGAAATTGAGCTTGACACCCCTGATATAGAACTTCTTTGCCTTTGAAAACATGTATTCAACTAAGATTTAATTGTACTTAGCCAAGCTTTTCTTTTTGGAGGGACTATATGGCTTAAAAAAAAATAGAATTAGAAGCACAATTTGGAAATATTAAAAAAACTCTTAAAAATTATCCCCTGAATATGCTACTGTTGACAGCTGTACTCCAGAATGAAGCTTCATGTAAGATTTCAGATGAGATTTTTGGATTAAAAGCCTTGAATAACAATGTTGAAGCAAAGCCATCATTGTAGGTTTTGCTTTCAAGAATAATGTCTTGCAGTGAAATTACCTGAATACAACATGACTGAAAATAATGCCCATATACTGTAGCTATAATTGTAAACTTGAGTTATCATATGATCTTGAATCCCCCTTTTTCCTTCTCATATTCAGTTTAATCACTGCAAGGTATGTAGTTTTTACTGGACATTATTATGTACACTGATGCATTACTTTTTATTTATTACATATTGCTATTTTTTTAATAAAATGCTAAGATATATCCCCTTCCCGGTGTAGCATTCCTAATCCTAAAATAAGGCATCCAATTAGAGACTAAATATGATGGAGAGAGATGCCAGCTGGTTGTTACAGGCAAGAGGGAAGACCCAAGTTATTTCCCAACAAACCCTATGATTTGGGTCAGCCGATGAAATCACCTGAGAGATTCTGATGATCCTAGAAATTATGTCTCTTATAGCTTTCATTTTGGCTGCTATCATTGGCCCAAGCAATTGTCAGCAAAGAAAGCAAACAAGACAATACATTCCAGTTCCTGAATGACAATTCTTTGTTTCAGGTCCTGCCCTTCCACCAGGTCACCCCTCTGTTGCCACTGGAATATCCACATCATCTGGTGGACCACCCCCTCCCCCTCCCCCTCCTCCTCCACCTACGGGAACTGCACCTCCTCCTCCTCCCCCATTGCCAACAGGTGGTGGAGGATCTAGCATTGATGACGGATCAGTGTCAGGACTAGCAGCGGCTCTGGCTGGTGCCAAACTAAGAAGAGTGCAACGGGTAAGTCTCTTGGCTGTGATGGAAGCACTATAAAGTTAAAAATTGGGATCTTGAAATTCTAATATACAAAAAAATAAGAATGGATGTCTTTGTTTAGAGTTTTCTGAACAGTTAAATTATTAATGCTTGTGGACTCTACATTGATGGCTTCTGTCTTAAAAGCCAGAGGATGGATCTGGAGGTTCTAGTCCCAGTGGTGCTTCCAAGAGTGATGCCAATCGAACAAGTAGTGGAGGAGGTGGTCTTATGGAGGAAATGAATAAACTATTGGCAAAAAGGTTAGTGATTGTGATTATGACAAGCAGTACCTCTTTTTTCTTACCCACAATTTCAAAAAGACTAGAAGGGTGGGAAGGAATTGGTCCACTGCAAGCTAAATCACTCAGAGAAACTACACTTTATATAAAATTAACCATACAAATTTCAAAGCAAAAGGCCATATTTCTAATTATGACCATGGTGTAGTTCCAGGTAGAAGATGAAGATTTTATTTGAGCTATTTACTAGTCAATGTGAGTTCTCCATTATATATGTCCAGTGACATATGACTAAATGTTTAACCACCTGTTCTGAGAGTCACATTGCCACCCACATGCCATGCTGCTAGACACAAAACAGTTGATTGACACATAGATGTTGAGGCTCA